TCACCGGCAAATCCCTAAAAAGTGGTATATATACTCTACATCTGGCCTATTTGATCGCTCTGATGATGTCCGTCATATGACGGACGAAAGCTCAGCACGTGTTCACCGACCTTCGAATCTCTTCACCCAACACTTCTACTCAAAATGGAAGTAATCCCAACAATTCGGAATACCCTCCTGCATCCCGGGAGAGTTCGAGATGTGCCTACATCTGTCACTTGAAGATATTCCAGAAGCTAGGCTGCATTCTGAGCACAATTTCAACGTCTACTCTGCTAAATATCCTTCTATACTAGCGTTAAAATGGTGGAGAAAAGGGCGCCATTTGTTGAAAATGCCTCGAGCAAGGATCCATCAGAGACGCAGCCCCACACCTAAAAGTTAAACTCCATGGCCTCTTTTGAAGCAAGTTGCAATCGCTAAATAGCATCTTGACCTTTGTAAGAAAGATGATTTTCAAGAATATCATTAAACCTTCTAGATGGATAGATAGATGAATTGTCCACAATGAAATCTGTACACTTCCCAATGTCACTTAATTTCACAAATAATCAGCCTGCAAAACTGCTCTTCATTTCTCAGGGATGTCAGGCCTACATCATCGTATGCTACATAAGATGGCCAATCTTCTTATTTCTTGTGGGCAGCTTACATAAATGAAACATTTGTCTAGCCTTTGAAACTACTGAATGGATTGGGACATGCTATCCTGCTCTGCGGAAATACAATAGCCCCGGCCTATTAAACAAATTGCAAAATGTTATCAGAACAGAAAGTAAAATGGCTGCTAATAAGCTAATTGTGTCTCGTCGTGTACAATAGAAACGTAGGCAATCTCCACTGCCAACCAGCAATGCCACGATCCAAGTGCATGAGTAACCTGGACTTTCGTTGTGATAATGCGTTTGATGTCGGTGAGCAAGTTCGTACCTGAGATGGCTGAGATCTGGTGTGCCATGTTTATGTTGTGGTCACCCAGGCCAAGCACATGCCATGACAACGGCTTGGTCAACTCATCCTCGGCATGGCTACAAAAACTGACAGGTATATTCCTTGGCAGGGGTTCATTCTGTTCGCCGGCAATGCAATGTTTAGATGACACTTGCATTGAAGCGGAAAGCAATGTCCTGCTACCAACTGTGCGAATGCTTTCATTTGTAACAATTCACCGGATAGTGAGTTATTTTGGTAAGTGATGAATGAACCGATTTTTTCTGAACAGTAGCCAACGGCAAAGCATGGTCTGTCCATGATGGTGGAAGTGCATTCGAGAGTTGAACAAACGATAAACCGAGGATTGAAAACGACAGTTTAAAATGCATCAAGCCTACATGGGAGCAGGATTTTCCAACGGTTTCTACCTACACAAATCATTAACTTCTTTGAAAGCAGCCTTGGAAGGCTTAACGCTTACATTTTACCCACATAATAATTACCTGCATGACAGTAACTGCTGGCACAATTAACATTAAAACGGATGTAGAATCACGGCTACAACTTAAATATGAGATGTATTCACCCTATTTCGTCTAAGGTGATGAAGGACTGGTAGTAGAATTTTCCCACATTGATATGAGTGGGAAAATTCTACTATCAGTCCTTCATCACCTTATACGAAATAGGGTGAATACATCTCATATTACTGATTTACTGGTAGTCTACGAAACTCTACTCTAATACGAAAATACAATTTAAATATTTTAACCAAAATTATCGCCTTTAAACCTTGTTTTGAGGACACTACACCCGACTACAATATATAAAAATATTGTCTACCTACTTATCAACAAAAAATATGTAATGTAGTCGATTGCTGTAGGAAATAAGATTTGTGTAGTCGACACTCTCATCACAGATACCAACATGCAAAAAGGCTTGGCCATTCTGGAAATTTGCCTATTCCTAACACCCGTCGATACTCGTGGCAGCCTGGCGTTGTGGTTGCCATGTCGAGAGTACGCATTGCCTTTTCACGGTTCGAGTCTCGCTGTGGGTGCTGAGGCAAGGCCTAAACTGCAGCCCAGTGCGTGTGAAAATAATTACCATATCAATATGGGAAAATTCAATTGTCAGTACTTCATCACCTTGGCGAAAAAGGGCGAAACAACTCATATAACAGATCAACTAGTAATCTCGAAAAACCCAAAATATTTATTAGTCCTGGCTTCGAAACATAAACATTCCAAATATTATCAGAATATAAATTCATATATTAAATATATATACATATGCATTAGTGAAACCACCTCTGCTTGCCTGGTGAAGCAGGTACATAAGGAAACCCTATCTTCGCGATTATTAAAAAAAGTTGAAAGCCTAGAATGCGCCTCCGTTAAAATTATTGCCTGTTTTGTACTGTGAAACTTTAGAAAAATGTGTATGAGCCTATAGATAAGAGAGATGAAGTAGACATATCAAGGATTTTTAATTGTTAATCTTATTTCCATTTTGAGTTAAAGGGTGTGCAGAAGAGTTTCGTAGGTCAATCTCGCCGAAAGACGAAAGCGGATTCTTATTGGCCAGCTGGCGATTGACTATTGGAACATTCTTTTTTACGGTGGTCTTGAGGCAATCTTGTTATATTATGGCTAACAAGTCAAGAAAACTCACCGGGTTACTCCAATATGCTGTTTATATACCCAAAGAGGCAGTGTGAATTGATTCGCTATAGTCATATGTCAATCTGGAAGCATGTGTATTTTTTCCTATATGCCTTCATGCGTACGAATATGCGTGAAACCAGTAGTAATAGCTTAAATCAATTAGACCGGAACGTAATATTTGTCCTCACTCATCAAGGTTTAATAATCCCAGCCCTCCTTTTTAGTAAGTTTTGATGTGACATCAACACATACCAACATTAAGATTTAGAAAAGAATACATCCATCAGCATTCAGCATAAAAATACATTCGTATATTATTAGAGGAGTGAATATAAAAAAAGTTCAATCTAGGCATTTACTTCACCCTTAACGATAGGTGTTATGAGCATTTTTCTTGATTTATTACCTTAAACATGGTTATGAGAATTACCCCTTCTCTGATGCTATCCGTTATATGACAGACGAAAGGTTAGCCCCTTTTTCCGCGTAGTCGATCAAGATTGCCTCGGGGTCGGGTCAGTAAGAATGCCAAGTGGAATTCGGCCTTCCTCTGGTGAGATCTGACTTCAAGTCTCTACACCAAACACTTTAACTGGCGACAGAAGTGAGCTTAACGCTGATACACCAAGAGATTGCTCGAAACACAACTTTTCTTCACAAAGGGCTCTACACCCGGTCTTACTTAACATAACTTGTGGCAAACTGTCTGAGGATAAATTGGCCTCAGTTTTGTGGGATGCTTCTAGATGAACCAATTTAGCGAGAGATTCCACAGCATTTACTATGCATTAAAGATGGTTTCCGAAATGAAAAACTGGCGAGGGATTATAATCTGCGATTGAAATGAGTGGCGAGATCCAATGTGAAAATTGAAAATATATACCCATTTCTAAGTAGGCAATCGTCTTGACAATTAGTTATGAATAGGACGCAAAGTGAAGGTGACATCGTTTCCAAGACAGACAGTCCTCACAACGGATGTAACTGGAGATACTTTGGGCCTGCCGTAAAATGGACCAAGGGTCATGCGTACTCAAGAGGTTATATGACTTGCCTCTGGACTGGAATAGCTCAGGTTCGAATCCCATTCAGGGAGATGAAATCTTCACGAGTACAAAAGCAGGAGAGGAGTTCAACTAGTACTTTATAAGTCGATCACACTAGGAAAGACCTGACGAAAGACATTGTGCTCATCGCTTAATCATGGAAGGAACTAGTAAACGATCTAGGGTATTTGTTATTGTTTCCCATCTTTATGACTCTTTGCTCTACCACAAGATCCAAGCTAAGCTAATTTTTGCAATGCCTTTCTAATAGATTACAATTATTTGTGTTGTTTGAAAGAAACTTTGCCAGAAAAAAATGATGCGTCAATGGAGCAAGATGCTTGGGGCACATTTTGCTTGATAGGTTGCTATAATTTCTCATGACCACCCAGGAGCAGCATGTGGTCACGCGTTGCTATGACGAAAAATAACACCTTTGTTGACCAGATGGAAAGGCCTACCCCTTCAAAGTTGCGGCATTAACTGAGTGAGCTCTGTTTGGGCTGTACTATGAGGCCCTGTAGCCGGCAATTTGTATAATAGCCCAGATAGACACGAGGCCTTAACGACAGGAGATTGAGGCAGAATGTCTCTTATCGCTTCAAATATGCCTTGCCTTGTCTGCCAAATGAACTGCCTACTTGCGCTACTCCGGCCACGAAAGGCCTGAAAAGCGAACATGTATTTCCTTCCAGGTCGTTGAGCCTTTCACTCTGACGAGTTGGCTCCAACCTCTCCACAGGACGCCAACTTTTCGGCTCAACAGCTGGTGTCGCATCGGCAGAACCATTTCGGCCAGCGTACTAACCTCAACTGGAATTGTGTTAGAGGTTGTTTGACCTTGTTTTCGCAACATGGTCATATTGGTAGGACGACTTAGATAAACGCACCTAGTCTGGAGTCCATTGTCTGCATGATCATTTCCAAAGTTGAACCGTGGACGTGGTACATTCACAAACGTTTCGCCGGCATCGCAGTCGACATTGTCAGTGAGTATCGCCATTCTTAGCACCACACAACAACTCGTCAAAGAGACAAATGTGTTAGTTTACCGTGCGATCTTAGGGACGGCTCTTTTGCCGGAGCTTTGATACTAGGGCCTCAGCAAAAACCGCTAAAAAGGATTGTACGTCAGACGAGAGAACTATTTGACTCCTCGTCTTTGCCTGATTTGGCACCAGAATTCGACGCATTAATGGCCCCAAAGCCGTCCTGACCATGACGATATGTCTGGTCCTCCAGTCGCCTGATGGATAAGTCTAGACCATCAAGAGGAAAAGCATTCAAACATGCTTGTCTGGCAACTTCTTGCCTCCGCAATCCTAACAGTACGGTTCGCAGTGCTGCCCGTCACAAACACGTACATGCAAACATATTTACATGCATATTTTACCTTTATAAGTGGGTTTTCGAGACTACCAGTAGGCCATTTATAT